CCCAACCCGTTCTCGCACTTTCTTACAGTCAATATTGTCTTATTAAATACGTGCATATGTGACATACTAAACATACTAGTTTACCTTGAAAAGCTTCATAGAAAACACCGACCTTACCTAACATTCTTAGTATGTTAAGATAAGCATCTTATTGCTTTGTAATTACAATTATTACTTAACCTATACCTATAATTGGTTAAGTAATAATTGTAATTACGAAGCAATAAGAGGTTAGGTAAGGTCGGTGTTTTCTATGAAGCTTTTCAAGGTAAAATAGTATGTTAAGTATGTCACATATGCACGTATTTAATAAGTCAATATTGACTATATGAAAGTGCGAGAACGGGTTGCTTAGTCTGGGGGACTAAGGGGATCCCCAGCTGCAGCACATGCAGCACGGGCTTACATTGCTGATCTCTTGGACCTGAAGGCACTAGAAAAGCTTGACTTTAAAAATGCCTTCAATCACGTCAATAGAGACGCTACCCTCAGGGCTATCTTGAAGTTATCTTGAGATGATTTCGGGGCTTTAGTGTCCCCGCGGCCCGGTCCTCGACCAGGCCTCCACCCCCAGGAAACAGCCCCGTAGCAGCTGTCTAACTCCTAGGTACCTATTTACTGCTAGGTAACAGGGGCATTGGGGTAAAAGAAACATTTTGCCCATTTGTCTCCTCCTCCACCGGGAGGCAGAGGTGGAGACTGGGCTGTGCACAACCATTTCCGTCCCCTCTACTCATTCATCCGATCGTGCTACCGTGGGGACTCAGCTTCTTTTTGGGGAGCATGAAATAGACTCCTGTGAAGGAGTCTAACAAGGTGATCCCTTGGCCCCCTCCTTTTCTGCTTAGCTATCAAAGAGGTCACTGATAGTCTGACAAGCGAGCTAAACATCTGGTACCTGGATGATGGCACTCTCGCCGGAACTCCGGATACCATTTTGGAGGATATAAGGAAAATCCAGGAGCAAGGCGCAGCCTTGGGCCTCATTCTCAATGCATCAAAATGCGAGATAGACTCCCACAACCCAGACATCACTAGCCAAATAAAAAATGTTCTTCCAGATATTTTCGTTGTCGAGCCACGTGACTGCACCCTTCTGGGTGCCCCGATTGGCCCGCAAGCAATCGAGGAGGTCCTGGACGCAAAAATCACTGATCTAAGGAGAATCTGGACAGGATTGACAAGATCGATGCCCATGATGCTCTCTTCCTCCTCACAAGATGCCTATCTCTCTCTCTAAGTTGACTTACTTCCTGAGGTGTTCTCCATCCTACAACAACCTTAAATTAAATGTGAATGAAACCCTTCTGAGGTCCATGCTGATGAAAGTCCTGAACCTGCCATTGGACGACTCTCAGTAGGAGCAAGCAATCCTCCCTGTTAGATTCGGCAGCCTTGGTGTCCGCACAGCCTCCCAGATTGCTCTACCAGCCTTCCTTTCCTCCTCCCATGCATCGCACGATCTCGTAAGAGATATCCTACCTGAATTCCTGAGTGATTCAGCAGGAATACACGATCCTGCTTTTACTGAATGTTCAAATCAATGGGATGCTCTTGCAGCCCCAGCACCCATCATAAAACCAACAATAAAACATAAACAGTCCAGCTGGAACCACCCACTAGTAGAAAAAATAGGTGATGCCATGCTCAGAGCCGCAACATCAGACAAGGAGAAAGCCCGCCTCAGAGCAGTGCGTGCCCCCCATGCAGGAGACTTCCTCCTGGCAGTACCCATGTCAGCAAAGGGCACGCGTCTAGATCCAGAATCCCTTCGTGTAGCAGTGGCCCTCCGCCTTGGTGCCCCAATTCACACTGAATACAAGTTTATTTGCAACAGGGTGGAAGCAGACCAATACGGACTGCATGGGTTGCATTGCGGAAGCACAAAGGGCTGGCATTTAAGACACAACGAGGTCAATGACATCATCAAGAGAAGCCTCGTCTCAGCTCAGTGCCCAGCGGAGAGAGAACCTCGCATCCTAGGGGACCAAAACCCAGATTTCCCCCGCACTTCGCCCTGGTGGCATCACCATATACTCCTGGAAGGAGGGTAGACAGTTGGTGTGGGACTACACATGTGTATTCACCCTAGCTGACAGCTATGTACACTTCGGTGCTGATCAAGTAGGTGGGGTGGCCAACCACAGAGAAATAGCAAAATCAGTCAAATACAGACGATTGGAAGATCGATACACCTTTTGTTACCATAGCGTCTGAGAAGCATGGCCCCTGGGGAAAGAGTGCCTTGGGATTTCTCAAGGAATTAGGCACCAAGCTCATTGACGTCAGCAGAGACTCAAGAGCTGCCAGTTTTTGTTTCAGCGCCTCAGTGTGGTGATCCAGAGGGGAAACGCCTGCTGCATCCTCGGTTCCTGTCCGGAAGCGGAGGAGCTTCAATAGATCTATAACCTTTAAGCACTCTTTGTATCAACCAATGTATATTTTGTAACCTTTAAATATATAATAAAGCAAACAAAAAATCAAAAGGAAGGGGGTGGTAGGAGAAAAGCACACAGAAACAGTATTGGAGGGGACCTAAACATTCCATCTAATTCATTATGTGTGGTTTCCTCCGAGGCTAAGGGTCCCCTTCTTCCAGCCAGAGGTGGTACTATCATATATATAAAATGTTTTTATATTTAATTTGTTCCATAATTTGGCGGTCCTCAAATCTTATGTCTCTAGCGCTGGCTTCTATACCATGGCTACATAACACACACTTATTATTACTTATCGTAACTGCTACTTTAGTACAGCCCTTATAATATATTGCATATATTATTATTTTATAACAACTATCAGCTATTCAAGAGTTAATTCTTATTGTCCCCATTTTTTATTGTATATAATTAGTATATAATCCCCATGCATTGGCCGGAGGCGAGATAACTCAAGAGTGGAAGACTCGTATAGGAAGAAACCCAAACTCCTCAAATAATATAACTGAGGCAATGTTTACGTCTAGAGCTCCGCTGGGAAGAGTGGTACTTGATCCTTGAGGTCTCAAGGACGAGGTATTTTGCTCCATGATAAACATGGCTCTGTCATTCTCCCACTTTCTTTCACGATCCTTGCAGTAAAATATTATTTGAAACAAGCAATATTTAATATAATTTATATTTTCAATAAGCCAATTAGCTATACGATGCCTGTCTATTAATGTTTCCTGGTGGTTTTACTCTCATTGGTCAGGTCTTCTGACGTGACGCAATAGTTATTGCCTGACTCTGTTTTTTACCCTTAATTATTGACCACTGTTATTAACCGTTTTCTGCTGCTGAAAGTTTTTAACTACTTAGCTCTTACTCTAAGCTGGCCGGTCGAGACTAAATAAGCTGAACTGTATTTTAATTTGATTGTTTCTGAATTCCCTGATTAGCACCAACTGTGGCCCTGATTAAAGGTAACCTTAGGCAGTTTTATTTGTTTTTCAAATGTTGAGCCTCTCTATTCAACACACACACACAGCGCTAGTTCCGTTTATTAGGAGACGTAGAAGTTACTGAACACATATAGGATAAATCTCTTACTTTTCAGTGTTACGAACCCGGATCCAGCGTCTGAGCCTGGAGCAGTGACAACCACGCAATCTGTGGGTCAGCTCCCGAAACCCCCGCCAAACGGACGACGACACCTGGTGAGGACAGCGTGTACTGGCCTCGTGGACCAGTTTCCAGTCTGGTTCAGAACTCTACACCGCCGCCACTGACCTCTGGTGAGGTGGTGCTCCGACGACAGCGCCATCTATGGACTGGATACGGCAGGTGTTTGTGCCCGAGCCCGTGAGTGAGGTGTTTTAGTGTCCCAGTCATTGATGACGTGTCTGTTTACAGAGTCGACCTGGGACCGCTGTGTTGAGGGTTGAGTCAGTCTACCCGAGGCAGCCAGTCTCCATACTGTGAAGTTTGCTGCAGCTGTTGTGAAGTCGTCCCCCCGGAAGAACACTGTGGTGTGTTAGCCTGCCAGTGGAGTGGCAGTAAAAGGATTTACCCGGGACCGACTGTTGGAGACGATCATCCACTGGGGTATTGAGGACAGGAGGGTGATTTGTGATATCACACGAGACTCCTGTCTAGGGCGTACCCCTTATATTGTTCGTGGAGTGGCCGTACCAGCCTTGGTGGCTCAGTACCTGCCAGCAGACCAGCTGGACGTGTGGTTGACGGCCTCCACGGTGGTGCCCCCAGTGGACCTGTGTTTTTGGCTGACCTGTGGCCAGGGTAGGCTCAGCATTCTCAGAGGACACGTTGTGAGGCCACGAAGAAAGCACCGCGGACTCAGCACCTAGCTTCTTGATCCAGAGTCTTCAGCAGAAGACTATATTGTGCATAATCCCCTTGTATAGTGTTAATACCCCTCCCCCTTGTGCACTCATTTATATGTATATTTAATCGGTGATGGTGATAAGTATAATATTAAGTTCTTGGCTTTCTTTCCCTACTCCCTTTAAGTTACTTGCGTCACGGATCTCATCCCTTGATAGCCACTACTGGCTTGGGAACGGATACATTATATCTTCCTCTAACATCAGAGTAAGGACCCCGTTGCGTCCCGAGAGGGCCGTAACATTCAGTTTCATCCTTGGCTTCATTCTGTTGTAAATCTGTAAGTAATGGTCACGCGTCCAACTGCCTAGGAATCATAGGTCGATGTTAAACAGGCAGATGCTCAAGAAGAATGTTAATAAAAAACTCGTAAGTGTTAGTGAGAAGAATATGGGAGTAAAGGAGTAGAATAGTTGAAGATGAATGATTGCGCATTATAAATCCACGTATTGCTTCAATACATGTTGCGTAAAGCTTTGCACTGCATGTAATGAGGGGAATTACGGGTTCTCTCGATTGAAGCGGAATTATGGGTCCAAGACCTGAAGCTCAGCTCAAGGAAACATCGTTATTTACTAAACATAAACAGTGGTAACAATATCCGTACATTCATGAATATTATTCTAAGTAAAACAGTAAATTCCTGCTATCTCTACAGAAAATATGGAAACTCACGTGAAATTTGTTGTGTCAGCTAAGATTTGCGTCAAGTTTCCTAAAGCACTGAAGAACATGAGTTTCTTTCCTCCTGGCACCCTGGGGTCTTCGACCATCACCGGTTCGTGAGTGGGGAAAGCGTGTGTTATAACCATTAGGTTCGGCCGGATAGCGAGCCTGGGAGAAACATCAGTCACTAAGTGGAAAATATCACCCAGGTATCTGCAGCAGGAATATTGGCATGACGCACTGGCATGAAAGTGAGTTTTCTCTGACAATCAAATGATAAATACAATTATATGGTGTTGCGCAACACTGATATAATCGACGGGTATAACGACAGCAGAAGACTGGACATTAGCGAGGCGCTACATATCAAGAAGTCCAGACCAGCATTCAACAGCCAGTTAACAAATAATTACATTGAGCTCACTTCAAGACCCCAAACCAACGCAGAGACGGGATCCAATGACCCCGCATTAGGAACATATCCAGCCCACAGCCCGTCCTCCAAAAATGGGGTGGTAAATGTAGGAAGACAAATAAGTGCAATTATGTACTATTCATAGCAGTTAGGAATTGTACTTATTTTCACTTAGTATTAAATCGTTATCTTGAGATGATTTCGGGGCTTTAGTGTCCCCGCGGCCCGGTCCTCGACCAGGCCTCCACCCCCAGGAAGCAGCCCGGGACAGCTGACTAACACCCAGGTACCTATTGTACTGCTAGGTAACAGGGGCATAGGGTGAAAGAAACTCTGCCCATTGTTTCTCGCCGGCGCCCGGAATCGAACCCAGGACCACAGGATCACAAGTCCAGCGTGCTGTACGCTCGGCCGACCGGCTCCCTTAGTCAAATATAGGGAGTAGTCAAATATATTGTGAATATTTGAGTTTACCTGAAAAACTGAATAGAAAACCATAACCTCACCTAACCGTCTTAGTTTTTGAAGATAATAATTTTATTGCTTCTTAATTACAATTAGTACTTAACCTATAGCTATATTGATATTACAGTTTTATAAAACTAATAAAACAAAACTAAAATATATCAATAAATTGTAAGGTAACTCAGGATATTTTAAAATTTTATATAAAATCTATATTGTTTAATAAACCTGAAAAAAATTCCTGATATTAAAAACTTGTGTATGGTAAATTGGAATTGAGAACTTCATCCTAAAATTCTGAGTATCTTAACAGAAAACGAGGAAAATTAAATCTGGGGAGGGAGTTGGGTAAATGTAACAGCCCCATTAGTGCATTTATGCACTATTTATGACAGTAAGAAAGTGTACTTATTACACTTTGTATTAAATCGTACTGTCAATTCGGGGGATGAGTTGCCAGCCCATGTTGATACATTTAATACTCAATTAATATTTCCAATGTAATATCATTCATGCACTTGTTCTTTACCACCTCACCCAAAAATAATATAATCCAGTGCTAAACACAGTAAACTTGTCTTTGAGAATGCAAGGAGTATAATTGTAAAACGCTTCCCTAGGCATCAGACGATAATAAAGTGTGAAAATGAACTTTAAAAGAGTTAATTTTTTAACTTCTTTCAAGAGTGGAGAAAAACTAAGAAATATTGGGAAGATTCATGATAGAATCATTAATCTTACCCCTTCAGTCATATTCAACAACATATGTTTACAAGAAAGACTGCTACCAATATATATATATTTATTTATTTATTTATTTAAGTTGTAGTTGTAGACAATTGCTAAAATTGCCGGTTATACCTCATGGATACGTCAAGACAAGCAGAATCAATGAGAGGGTGTTGCAGTGTGTGCATCAGCAACTCTGTACATACCTAACCTATTGATGTAGTCATCCCTGTTCACCTTGAAATTATGTTCTTCAAAATTTGCATTAATTCGGGTACATCAATACTCTTATATACATTGTACATACCTCAACGGCAGGGTGCTTCCCCAGTCAACTTCCTGATGGACAACCTAGACTCCTTGCTAATGCAGCACAACTGTTTTCACATTATAATTGTTGATGACCTCAACCCGTATCTTATACAGAGGGATTTTGATGAACTCTTAGCAGTCTTCAACCTAGAAATTTTGTAGAGCTTTTTAACCCACATATCAGGCTCGTCCTTCGATCCTGTCGTAACTGACCTTCCTGCAAGCATAGTTCACTGCAGATCTCTGAGATATGTTGGTTCTTGAGACCAAAAGGCTGTCTTTTCTACACTGGCTATCCCAAGAGATCGAATTGAAAAATATGTTCGTATTACGTCTTGGTTTTGAGACATATGGAACTGGCCAGCCCTTATCTCAAAGCTTGAAGTAATTGATTGGAATGCCTTGATATAGGTGGACGTGAACAGCCAAGTAAACGCTTTCACCAGTCGTATACTGGACCTCCAGCATAGGCATTTCCATCACCGGCAATATGCGACCAAGTCTACTGATTAGCCTTGGTTTGGATATCTCTGCTGGATGGCAGCTGAAGCCAAAAATATGTTCTGGAGAGTATCCTTAAAAGGCATCCTTAGGATCATAACATAATCATTAATTGACAATCTTGTCGTATAATGAACAAAAATCAAATGAGGGCTATATCCAGAGAGGAATCCGTAGCTCAAAGAAAACTTGCATCTGGATGGGTTGTTGGATTCAAGGTCTGGTGGTCCCTGTTAAGGCTCAGCAGGGATGTTCATCTGAGGATGCAACATCCCTCCCCCTCTCTGAACCGGGAGGATGGAACTGTTGCAACCAGCAATTAGGAGAAAACTTATCTACTGGCAAACTACTTTGCTGCCAAGATGCAGGTCCCTGGTCCTGAACGTCAGCCTCCACATCTTTGCGTCAAGCACTGTGTCTAGGATGACTTAAGTGGTTATACAGCAGGCTGAAGTTGTTCATCTCCTTAAAATGCTTGACACAAGAAACGCAGTAGGGGCCAGATAAGATCAGTTCAAGACTACTACGCAGCTGCGTTGACCAGTTGGCTCAACCTTTCCCCATGCTTCTTTTCGGAATTTGGCCTTCCATATGGAAGAAGGCAGATGTTCCAGTGCACAAAATGAAGAGCCACTCAGTGGTTGATAACTAATGACCAGTGTCACTTCTCTCCATTACTGGTAAAATCTTCAAATCAGGAATGACTCAGCAAATGATAGCATTTTGTTTATCATCATCGGCTAATATGTGATCGACAGTATGGTTTTAGCAAAGGCCAATCTGCTGCTGATCTCTTGCTAACTCTTTCCACTAAGTGGCATCATTCACTGGATGAGTCCAAGATCAGCTGTGTTGTTGCGCTAGACACAGCAGGAGCCTTTGATCGGGTATGTGTTATGATCTCAGCCTGCAGGAGAAACGAGTCTCCCCCTGAGAGTTATTCTGCAGGGACTGACCTAAATAAGAGGTGAAAGAAATATAGACATGAAAATACATACATAAAACAATTGGTTAAATTTGACAACCCGTTTAAGAATATGGGCAGTGAACAAGAATAGAAATGAATGACTTGACATGAGATGTGGAGAGTTTGCTAGAAGTGTGAGGCTCACTTCTGGAGGACTTTGACCCCCACTTGAGCACCAGACATCGTGAGGAAAAACCGCGCTCCGTGTGAGCTCCTGTTAGAGAGGAACCCCTAGTGGTTATACCTTCAAGAGGAAGGAAGTGTGCAGACGTTTCTGCTGTGGAATCAAGTTGGGAACGTTGTAGTCTCAAGTCCTGGACGACAAGAAGAGTTGTGAAGCCATCCTGAAATATTTTCGTTGGGCAACTTGTGAGCTCCCTGTCGAGCATCGGCTAGGAAGCGCCCTCGACTAGACAATATTGTGGTAAACCCAAATTTAACTAGTTAATAGTGATTGCCTATAGTTGATCGTGTGCCCAGTGATCGTTGCAAGTGTCTGTTGATATGTTAGGCATGTTTTGATAAGGCAGAAGGCCTAAATAAGTGAGTAAAGATGGAGGAACGTCCTGGAAGGTGGAGCGACATCCATTCCCTCCGACCTCTTGTGAGTGACTGAGGGAGCCTGGCTCCTGGCGGAGGGCCTGCCCATAGCGGCAGGCGGAGTAATCGCTCAGCGGGAGACGGAACATGGACCAGCCCAAACAGGGGAGTCCACATTACGACATTCGGGAAGCAGGGAGATGTCAAGTGAAACATTTATTGTTTGTGACTCATTTCAGTTACGTGTTTGTAGAGGAACATTTTTGTTGGCATATGGATAGGTTGCAGGTTTGTCCTGAGGAAGGAGTTGATAGGAGTACTCTGAGGCCAGAGAAGAAGTTGATGATTGGAACTTCAAGCCTGTAGGAGTAGATATTGTACTCTGTGGAAGAGCAAGCCCTATAGTGAGGAACTGGACCTCAAATTGTGTGAAGAGGAGCAGTGAGGTGAAGTCTCACATGCTTTTGTGGAATCAGTGTTGGAGTATCACTGGAGTCCAAGTAGAACTTCATGGAGCAGCAGCTTGGGAGAGCTGTAGAGGATCCTGGTAGATGAACCTGGAAGGACCTGATGATGTCAGGGTAGTGAATTGGCAGATGTTGGAAGGAAGTTCTTAGTGAGTGCTTGTAGGGAGTTGGTAGAGTGTTTGAGTGTCATTGGCATGCAAGACGCAGTGGAAGGTGGGGTGACTGACCATTTTTGTATCAAGGAACATTTATATTAATGTTTATAGTGTTACAGACATAGGCTAGATATATATATATATATATATATATATATATATATATATATATATATATATATATATATATATATATATATATATATATATATATATATATATATATATATATATATATATATATATATATATATATATATATATATATAGTGTGACAATAATCTCTTTCAAGAGAGATTGAGCCTGCTCTTCCCTACATAATTACGTCAAAATACAAGATACTATATACAAGATACGTTCACCAAGTATCGCCAAACGTTTTGCCCAGAGAGCAAATCGTACCCAGAACACCTGGCCACCGCCGTAACCAGCTAACTGCTCATCCTCTGCCTGCCTGTTGCTGATTGGCTGGTGTCTCGTCGCACCAGCCCTCCGTCACCACCACAAGTCGACGTCTGGGCTGCAGTGCGCCAGTCTCGTCAGAATATCTCAGTGCTCCATGCAGTTAACATCTCTCGCTGGTAGACTAAGCCTTGGCTTTCGTGTACTAAGGGAGG